CGGAAGGAAGCATGAAGTGCTCCAAAATCTGCATTGACCCTGGACTTAATGAAGCACAGTGGACCAACACCAGCAGATGACATGGCTCCCCAAATCAACACAGACTGTGGAAACTTCACACTGGACTTCAATCATCTTGCAGTGTGTGCCTCTCCATTCTTCCTCCAGACTCTGGGTCCTTGGTTTCCAAATAAGATGCAAAAGTTGCTCTCATCAGAAAAGAGGACTTTGGACCACTTAGCAACAGACCAGTTCTGGTTTTCTTTAGCCTAGGTAAGAGCGGCTTGACATGAATACAACATTTGAAGCCCATGTCCAAGATCCATCTGTGTGTGGTGGCTCTTGATGCACTGACTCCAGCCTCAGTCCACTCCTTGTGAAAGTCCCCAACACTTTTGAATGGCCTTTTCCTGGCAATCCTTTCCAGGCTGCGGTCATCCCTGCTGCTTGTGCACCTTTTTCTTCCACACTTTCCCCTTCCACATAACTTTCTATTAATGTGCTTTGATACAGCACTTTGGGAACATCCAACTTCTTTTGCAATTATCTTTTGAGGCTTTCCCTCCTTATGGAGGGTGTCAATGATGGTTTTCTGCACAACTGTCAGGTCAGCGGTCTTTCCCATGATTGTGATTCCTACTGAACCAGACTGAGAGACCATTTAAAGGCTCAGGAACCCCTTGCAGGTGTTATGGCTTAATTAGCTGATTAGAGTGGGACACTTTGAGGCTAGAATATTGAACCTTTACACAATATTCTAATTTTCTGAGATTGTGGATTTGAGGTTTTCATGAGCTGTAAGCCATAATCATCTCAATTATGACACAACACAGCTTGAACTATCTTGCTTTGCATATAATGAGTCTATCTCATATATTAGGTTCACCTTTTAAGTTGCATTACTGAAATAAATGAACTTTAGCACAATATTCTAATTTGTCAAGTTTCACCTGTACTGTGAGATGATTGAATTGGGATTAGTGCACAAAAGAGATGAAAAATAGGGTTGCAGCAGTGATAGTCTATCCCTCCCCACTGCTAGCCAAGGGACCTCCTCCCAGCCTTATCAAGAGCCCTTTATTTCTCAGTAATGGATAAAAGTTCCAAAGGGGATAATGGGAGAAGAATCAGAGGTGCAAGAGGAGCTAACTCTTCCAGTCTGAATCACATTTGCACCCCCATAGACTGACTTTCACTTCTGGAATTTCTTGCATTACTAATTCTTTGGACCAGTGGTCACCAACTGGTGGGCTGGGGACCACTGGTAGGCCGTGAGAAAATTTTGGTGATCCACAGAAAAATGCCCCCCACAAAGCAATTAGTTCAGGCTGCGCGGGAACACAAGGCTGCGCAACCCACATGGCCTGCCCACACGCTAGCCCCACCCTTCAGCCAAGCGCAAATCTTACCTTGAGTAGAGCCACGCGAGCTGGAACTGGAAGGTAAGACCAATGGCGGGGGAGGGAAATCCACCCCGGGGTGGCTTGCTGATGGTGGAAAAGTTGGTCCCATATTCCAGAGCTGCAGTAGTCACAAGACTGGCCCTTTGGTCATCCCAGAGCAGCTCCTCCAGTCCATGGCAGGCTGGTGCACCCGGGTGGAGGAGCAGCTGCTCTGGGATGACCAAGGGGCCAGTCCTTGACTACTGCAGCTCTGGAATATGGGACTGACTTTCCCACCAATATCAGCAAGCCACCGGAAATCAAAATGCATATGAGTGACCCTCTGGATTTGAAATTATGAGTTTGGTGGTCCCTGAGGTCCAAAAGATTGGCGACCCCTGCTTTGGACCCTTCTGGTGTTCCTTAAGGGATCCCAATGTGATTGCACCCAATTTTATGAACTTTTTTTGTGGTAGGCATCAACCAAACACCACGTTCATTAAATCAACGATCTCCAACCTTTCCAGCTCCATGGACCAGTGGAAGCAGAGGCAGTGGCGGCAGTGGGGTGAGAAAGGGAATGGTCCCACATGCAAGTGCCACTTTCATAAATGCAACTTTGCACAAACACATGCACATGCATGTACTGGCCCACCACTTCCGTGGCCCAGGTTCCGAATGGGCTGCGATCCAGCACCAGGCCACAGAACGGGGATTGGGGATCTCTTCATTAAAGAGCCTGTTTAGCCCAGTTGCATTTTTTTTGCTAGAAACTGGAAATAAATGCCAGAAACATCATAAGCCACCAAAAAGTCAAGGCCATATGACTGCAGGATGCTGCAAACGACCATAAATGCTGGTTGCCCCGCACCCAAATGCAATCATGGAGGGTGCAGCCATCAGAATTTTGAAAACAAGTCCTAAGTTGCTCTGGGAAGATCCATGGTAACTTCCAATGATCACTAAACAGTGAGTTGTTAAGTGAGGTTCGCTGTAATGTTTTGAAGGAACCAGACCAACCAGCAGTTTTTCAAAACTTGTGTCTGCCCTCACTTTCTCCTGCAGTGTCACCATCTTCTAGTCATGCTTAGATATTGCTTTCTTCTTCCTGGGAATCACATGCCTGATGTCAATCATCCTGACCATCTCCCCATTATATGAAAGTGGCTATGAGGATAAGGAAGCCTTTCATGATAGCAAAAGAGAACTAATGACTGATTAAGGTGCTGCTAGAAACCAGGAGGCTGTGAGTTCTAGTCTTGTTTTAGGTATAAAAAACTGGCTGGGTGACTGGGCTAATCACTCTCTGTCCACAGGCTTGTTGCTGTTGGAGGAAACAGGAGAGGAAGGAATATTATGCAATTCACTACCTTACTTATCAAGTAATAAAGGCAAGATAGAAATCGAACAATGCATTAAACTTGAGGAGGGGGACTAATAATAACGGCTCAGAAGAATCCCACTCATCCTTTTTGTTGGCACTACAATGAGAGCAGCCTACAGACCAGCAGAGCATTGCAGGTAAATGCAGGTAATCCTCAGCTCGGATGCAACTTTTCTAAGCCACAGTTTGGATGGCAGACTTGAAATGCAAGCCAGGGCGGCGTCCACTAAAATCTTCCATGAAATGAAGGACCTAGTTGTAATAGCCATATATATTATTACAACATTGTCCCTCTTTTCATAAGCTAGCTTAAACACTTGTTTTGCATATTTTGGACTTTCCATTAGTTAGTTGAATGTCAGGTTGAAGGAGATAGATAGGATATAAATAAACAATACCTTGGATTCTTTCAACAACGTAATGCCAATTTTTAGCTTCCGGTCCCTTCTAGGCTCTTCTTTCTGAATACACAGAAAATTACTTATGTACTATTTTGTAACATAATAGCCTTCACTATGTTCTGAGTAGCTGCCTGCCCTACAGAGGTAGCATAAAAGCTGCTGTAAGGAGCAATCTACCGCAGAAAGAACTTGTACCCCTCTGCCTAACAGCAGATAGCCATATATCAGGGTCCCTTTCAATCCTTAATAATTGCACTGTATTTCAACAAACTTCAGCTCCACTATCTATATTTTCCTTTTAAAATAAAAGCTTATCAAGAAAGAACAGTTCTGGCTCAAGTTGCAAGTTTGTCACCTATTATTCTTCATCTTGAAATGGACATAACAATACAGCTTTTGCTTTAAACTTCAGCTTCCAGAAAGGTAATACACTTGTTATCAGTGTAAGGGTTCTTTACTGTCATTTGGTAGTTGCCATCATCTCAGCAGTCCAGATCTGGTAGTTCAAGTTTCCATCCCAAGTGAGCATTTGTTTTCCTCCTAGATAGGAAAGCTCCTTCCAAAGAAAGGACCTGGCTTGTCCATGGAGGGACGTCACTTTCTTAACGGTAGAAGAAATTTTTTTCAATGTGCCCCACAACACACTCACTATGGCTTCATTCATGCAAAATGCTGAACCATAATGTCACTGTTTGGTTTTTGTGCTCAATGTTATATTGCTTGTAACTTACTGAATAAGGGCACTATATTCAGTGAAATGTATTTCTATTTGTGGTGACTTGTTTAGTACAGGTTATACTGTATGCAGGTGCTAGTTTCCATGCTATAGGCCAAGGGTCTTCAAACTTGGCAAGTTGTCGACTTCAACTCCCAGAATTCCTGAGCTAACATGACTGGAGGAGGAATTCTGGGAATTGAAGTCCACAAGTCTTCAAGCTGTCAAGGACCCCCTGCTAGAGGCGAATCCAGCCAGTGGCATCCATTCATTCTGGGCTTGGGATTTAGAAAGAGGCTTCAAGGCTGCTGTGCTGCTTATCGGGCTCAGCTGCCCCACCCAGAGCCACTGCCTAGGGGCAGCAATGTCCCTGCAGCTGCTTCGTGTAGATAAGAGGAGCCTCTCCCCATCTCTGGGCTGCTGCTCAAATTGGGCATCTTCATCCCCTTCCCCCCCCCCCATGAGCAAAAGCCCCCAATTGAGGGAGGGGGGTGAGTAAGGATTCCCTACTTTGAAAAAAAAAAAAACCTCCAGGAAGGGGATTTGTTTTTTCTCATCAATAGTAGAAGGGCCCCCTACTCAATGGACAATGTGTCAATAATCCCAGTTCTGCAATGGCTGGTTGTAGAATACTTGGAGATGGAGGTAGGGGGGCAAATAGGAAGACTTTCTCCAAACTATCTTCATGCCCCTCAACCTGGATTTGCCTTCATGATCTGAACTCACTTCAACTGTCCCTCTCTTTGACAAAGGCTCGGTCCAACCTGCTCTCTTCTTCCTGCCCCTACTTCTAATTTCCCCAAACCCCGTCCTCCAGCAAGTCCCCGTCGCGGTCTCCCGGGGCTTCCCGATCTCATCTGAGGTAGGGGTAGACTTCAGGATAGGCCCGAGGGATTCCCCGTTGGGGAAAAAGCGCGCCATTTCCAGACGGCGGGCACGGGTTGGGATGATGGCTGAGAGGACCAGACGGGGGAGGAAGACCAAGCGAGAGAGGCTGCGATCCCCTCAGGGGAAAGCCCGCCAGCGCCTTTACTCCCCACCCCGCGAGGAGGGGTGTGGTGTCTTGGGCGGGAGGGGGGGGGGGGAAGGCGTGCTCGGCTCGGCCTCCCCGGCCCGATAAAAGGGCAGCCCGGCTGTGGAGGGCACCAACCTGCCAAGATGGTGCTCACCGAGGAAGACAAGGCCAGGGTGCGGGCTTGCTGGGTCCCTGTGAGCAAGAACGCCGAACTCTACGGAGCGGAGACCATTACGAGGTAAGCCCTCCTCCCCTCCCCTCCCTTCCACTTGCGCGAAGCTCGCCTGGGCGATGCTGCTGCCCGGGGCTTCCCTTCACTCTCCCTTTCCCCCCACATGGCAGGTTGTTCGCAGCTCACCCAACCACCAAGACCTACTTCCCCCACTTCGACGTGAGCCCGGGTTCCAACGACCTCAAGGCTCATGGCAAGAAAGTGATCGACGCGCTCACCGAAGCCGTCAACAACCTGGACGATGTGGCGGGAGCCCTTTCCAAGCTCAGCGACTTGCACGCCCAGAAACTTCGCGTGGATCCCGTCAACTTTAAGGTGAGTCGCCTTCTCCCCGGCATAATGGGGGGGGGGGGGGGGGGGGGGGAAGGAGGAGGCGAAGAAGGGCACACGGCGCCTCCCGCCTGCTTCGCCTTTCCTTCGTAAGCCGTCTCTCCGCCGATGGCTTGTGGTGGGTGGGTGGGCGGGCGGGCGAAGCTCTGCCTCTCTTAACGGCACCCCTCTCCTGTCTGCAGTTTCTGGCCCACTGCCTCGAGGTAACCATCGCCGCTCACAACGGTGGGCCCCTCAAACCCGAAGTGATTTTGTCCCTTGACAAATTCATGGATATAGTCTCCAAGGTGCTGGTTTCCAGGTACCGCTAGAAGGAAGAATGCACACCCTTGCCTGTGCTCGGAAACAATGGCCCTCTTCCTCTCCAGTATCTCTCCTACTTCTTGGATAACCTTGTCAACCTCTCTTGCCTGCACGTCTTCTGCTCTGTGGGGTTCACTTGTGGGACCCCAATTTGGGTGTCTCCCTGGAGCCTGAATTACTAGTTGCCCTGTGGCTGAATTGACCAAGCCAAGGTCTGAGCTCTCTGCAGTGGGACTGAGCAACCAAAGATCTAAAAGCATGGATGATTTTTCAACCGCCCTCATGTCATCCACCACCATTAATGCCTGAGCTGGTTCTACTTCCACTGTTGTGCAAACTATTGTTTCCATTGCTTCCCCCCCACCCTTCCTTGTCGAATCTTCATTATTACAACAAATTAATAAAAGCACAGGAAAAAGAGGTGCCAGAGCGTTTTTCAGTGTCTGTCTAAAATGCTCCAAGTTGTTCTGCTGCATTGTTAGTGCTGCATGTGTTTCTGAATCGGGCAGAAAACATATGTGTCATCTTGATATGGGTGGGCAGTTTGTAGGAGAGGGGTCATTGCTGGTTTTGGGGGGGGCAGCAATTACAGGAAAAAATAGGTCAAGTATGAATGAAATGGCTCAAATGTGGACCCTTTGTTTGGGAATGTGCATGGCAACTTCTTAGAGAATTTGGGAAAATCTTAAGCAAATGAAGCCAAAAGCAGTTCTTGGGTTTGCATAATGTTGTAAAACTTAAACTCAGGTTAATCAAAGTGAATAGTTGGGGTCAAATAACAGCAATACTCAAACAAATAAAACATCATGGCTAAGGATAATGGTCTGGTTCACACATGGTAAGATGGTGACTGAGTTCCTATAACTTCCCATCAACTTATTGTTGATAATAACTAATTAACAAAATGTAAGTTTTGATCAGCCTAGCATGTTATGCTAGCCCAACAACAGTATGTTTATCCCAGGCACATAACTTATAACAGCATTTTCTGGCATATGCAGGCAAGCTGATTTAAGCAAAGGACTGTAGGAACTTTTAAGGGTCACTTTTTGCAGTTGGACTTTAAATAACAGGCATCCATCTAAGTAAGGTTTATTCCAGAAGACCTTCTCCCAGGAGGGAGAATGTTCCTACATTGGTGAATTCTAATTATTTGAAACATGGAACTCATGTTCCAAAATAGATGATCAAAAAAGACATTTTGAACAAGAAAAGATGTGGCAGTTAGAAGTGTGTGTGTGTCCATTTTATAACATTACACCTAGAATGAAAGTGTTATAAAGACTTTTGTGGATCAGCTGGGAGAGCCTAGTATTAGACTTGGTGCATTCTAGACTGGGATAGATTAGAAGGTGGAAAGTAAAGGTGAAGTGCTATCAGTATCTAGACATTCCTGAAGATAAGTCTTTAAAAGTCTGCCAGAATTATATCTCACCTTTCCTCCAGGAGCTGTTCACACAGGGATCTCCCTTCATTTTATCCCATCATAGTAATGCTGTGAAATAACCTGGGCTGAAAGAGAGTGACTGGACCAAAGTTACACAGAGTTTCTGTGACTATGTGGAGACTTAAACTTGGATCTCGCTGATCTCCTTCCATCAATTTAACTATTTGTGCCATTTTGTGGTGCAGTGATTAGAATGCAAGTAATGCAGACTAACTCTGCCCATTGCCAGGAGTTTGATCCTGAGCGGCTAAAGCTGGTAAAGCAAGTTAGTAAAATGAAGAGCCAGATTGTTGGAGACAATATGCCGACTAAACTGATGATAAAGCAGTGTATGTGTACTATTGCTATTTCACAAGAGAAATTAGAGGAGGGAAAAGGGGGAAGTGTTCTGGCTAGTTCAAACACAGAAGCAGAATACAGTGGAGATGAAAAACCTACATGCTTCTGTATTTTCAACTGGTGGGTAGGAGTATTTCATAATTTGTAACACCAATCAGTTTGGTGCTAATGAGAATTGTTTGTCAGAAATACATTTCATAGAGATGAGGGGGAAGCATAGAAAATGGCAGAAATGGCTTTTGAAGGGAAATTATTGTCTGATCTTTTTCTAGAAATGGATTGCAGGTGAGTTGGCTACAGTATACCAACTACACTTCTATACAAAAAGGTTTTTTGGGGGACAAGAAAATACCTGTATTCCCAACAAACCAAGTCCTGTGATTCCCACATCTCATTGCTCTCCATCAAAACTTATAATTAGAGAGCTATTACCAGCAAAGATAATAATGCCCATAGATTTGGTTGCAATACTCCCATAAAAAGGGAGTCAGTTTTCAATGAATGCATTTTTAGATAGAAAGGGAATTTTTATATTCTAAAGAAATGACAATTTATTGACCTAGGAACCAAATAAAGAATTTCTAGAATTTGTTTACTGAAACAATTAAATTTATTTATTTATTTTATTTATTTATTTGATTTGCCAATTGTTTACAAGATAATAAGTATAAGTGTATACATAGTTGTGAATACATGAAATGGGTACATATAAGAAAAATAAAAGAATAAGAGAAACAATAGGACAGGGACGGTAGGCACGTTGGTGCGCTTATGCACGCCCCCTACAGACCTCTTAGGAAAGGGGAAATACAGCCTATTGATTATATTATTAATTTGTATTATTAGAAATACAGCCTATTGATATAGGAACCTTTTATGCCAAACTATTTTTTTTATTCATTCACTCACTCACTCACTCAAGCTAATTTGCAATCGACAATTTGCACATCGGAAACATCGGAAGGTGTCTATGGCGATTCTCAGTCATCCAGGTCATAGTTGTCCCAAAAAAGTGCTTTTTCAAGAGGGCTGAAGAAGCTTCTTGGATGAGAAGCGAAACGTTTTTCAGAGGAAAAACCAAAAAAAAAAAAAAAAGTCCCGTTGCCTCTTGAAAAAGCACCTTTGGGACAACGTCGGGAGTTTAAGCAAGCCAAAAAAGAAAAAGCAGCTACCATTACTGTAATATGATGGCGATGACGTACCCTCTGCCCAGTCAATTTAGCCACACTGGACAAGTCAGGCTATAGAAAAGATGCAAAGTAGGATTTCGGGGGTCCGTCAGCCTACAGGATAAACGGATCGGAGGCAAGTATCCCCTTATGCCGAGATGCTAGATTTCCGGGCCATTTCTCCGGCGCGGTCTTTCGCCGCTTAGAGATACACCCCGTTCCTCACGGGAGAAGGTCCAGCCGCCAGCCGCCTATAGAAGCTGGGAGACCCCGGAGAGGAAAAGCAGCGCAGGGCTGGAAGTGGAATCCGCCCACCAGTCTACATGCGGAGAAATGGGAGGGGCGGGGGGGGGGGAGCTGGAAGTTTGCTAACTTTCACTGCGATAAGCTTACTGAGGGAATCGGACGCTGACTGGGGAATTCTGGGAGGTGTGTGTATTTCTTCTAGTGAAAGATCTGATAACGTCTTGTGTATTTTGCAAAAACACCCAGTTGATGGTAAAACGCAGTTAAGAAAGGTCAGATGACTGAACAATGACTTGGTTGCTTCTGATATGATGAGGACATCTTCAGGTTCCTTTGATGAAATTGCTCCTGCATTCTATCTGGAGCAGTAGCATCTTGGTCTTAAGCCCTAGTTAAATTAGGTGAGCCAGTGCTTTATAAACTAATCAATGAGTGTCCTAAATAAAGCCACATATAGGTAGCAAAGGATGAGATTCATGTTCTGAACATTTCACAAAAGATCGTGTAGATTTTATGAGAGGTTCTAATCAGGATAAATGAAAAAGCCATATTCATAGGTAACAAAATGTAAAGAAAACAAATGTAGTGGACATCATGGAAGCACATGGAAGCATTTTTGAAAAAGTATAATGCTTTGTAGCTCAAAGGGATTTTTATTCAAAAGAAGGTAGGAGTGCAGTTTAGCAATGTTCTCAGCTTAGCATAGCATTTCTCAGTCAATTTGCTTCTCGGCGCAGTTCTCAATTCAAGCAAAAATAAGAGAAAAAAAATGGAATAACTAAGTTTGTAAAGGCTGATATTTCTTGTAATATTTACTCATCTGATCCTACTGAACTCTTCTTTGTCTAGGAAAAACAACAGCAATTACTTAATGTCAGTTAATTAAAATTATTTTCTACACTTTTTTCACATTACATTCTAGAAAATCTTTATATTCTAAAAAAAAAACCTCTCTTACTTAACATGAAGTGAATTTAAAATCATTGTGTATCCTACATGTTCCATCAGGGAAGGGCTGAACAGAACATAGGAAGTGGAAGTCATGGGGAGATTTACAGTAAGTCACTGTTACCAAATTCATCTACCACCAATCCTAAATCACTAACAGCAATAGTATAAGGTGTCCTGTTGAACAATTCTATAGAGTTTACCAGAATGAAAGAAAGTAAAGAATTAAAGAAGAGACTTTTCATGACGTTAAGGCCAACTGTCACTCTAAATCAGGGGTCCCCAAACTTGACAATTTTAAGACTCGTGGACTTCAACTCCCAGAATTCCTGAACTGAGTTCATACATTTGTGCTAAATCATGGCTTATTTTAACTAAAGTTTGCTAAGTAATCCCCAATGACTTGGTTCACATATAACCCATTCTAGCTATAGTTCATAGTTTACAAACTGTCCATAATGCATAAGCCAAAACTAGACAGATTACATTACTACTTAGCAGAATGCATGAACTTAGTTTTTTTCTTGAAAAAAAACCTGAAGCAGAAAAATAAAAAATAATCTTGACCATCAACAAGTTTATGGTTCATTATATCTAAAATTATAACTTCTGCTAAACAGTGCTGAATTGTGTTAATAATTAAAAACAGGTAGTCAGACTGATCTTTTGTGTGTACACAAAGACTATTTTTAAATTATATATTTTTTGAAATGTTCAAAACATTAAAATATAGTTGTAGGAAATCAGGTGGCATATAAATTTAACGAATAATAATGTATTAACTTGAGAACATTGGTTTTTAAAATTATCGATTATAATAGAAGGACAAGTTATTCAACTTTGTCTCTTTATTTTCTCAGCATATTGTCTCTTCTATCAATTGGCACAGTTCCTTCCATCTAAATGTTATTTTCACTACTTTCTTCAATCCACTTACTGTATTGGACAACATTTTAAATCACCTTTATAGTTGGTTTACCGTATCATCTGAACTGAACTCAGATAATGGGTCAAGCTAGTGTTAACACAGAACACTTTATTCACTAACATAAACCTTGTGTTTTTTTTCCAATACTCAGGATAGTATATCAATCATGGCTATCCTCTGAGAAGATTGCACAAACTTCCGGAAAGTAGAATTGCTTTGCTACAGCATCTCTGCTTTGTTTGCTCTACTTATGTCCCTTATTTTAAAAAAAGATCTGATTTTGAAAACGCAGAGGCTTCAGTGTCTTTTTCATTTTTACAAAAACAGTCATGTTTTTCTCTTT